TTTTTCATAGTATTTTTTTTTAACAATCCTTTGTATTTCTGTGGGGTCTTTTGTTATTTCTCCTCTTTCATTTCTGATTTTGTTTATTTGGGTCCTCCCTTTTTGCTTCTTTGTGAGCCTGGTTAGAGGTTTATCAATCTTGTTTATCCTTTCAAAGAACCAGCTCCTACTTTTGTTGATCTTTTGTATTTTTTTTGGTGTGGGGGGGTTGGGTCTCTATGTCATTTATTTCTGCTCTGATCTTTATTATCTCCTTCCTTCTGCTTATGCTGGGCTTTTCTTCTCCCTCTCTTTCTAATTCTTTAAGTTGCAAGGTTAGATAATTTATTACCAGTTTTTCTTGTTTTCTTTTCTTTTCTTTCTTTTTCTTTCTTTTTCTTTTCTTTTCTTTTCTTTTTTTTTTTTTTTTTTTTTTTTTTTTTTGAGGTAGAACTGTAGAGTTATGAACTTCCCTCTCAGAACTGCTTTCATTGTGTTCCATAGATTTTGGTTTTTGTTTTTCATTGTCATTTGTTCCAGGATGCTTTTTATTTCTTCTTTGATCTCTTTGGTAACCCCATTATTGTTTAATAGCATACTCTTTTGCCTCTAAGTTTTTTTTCATTGTTTTTATTGTTGTTGATTTCTAGTTTTATGTCTTTGTGATCTGAGAAGATGCATGTTATGAATTCTATCCTCTTGAATTTGAAGAGACTTTGACTGTGTCCTAATATGTGGTCTATCTATTAAAATGCCGCATGTGCACTAGAGAAGAATGTATATTCTGTAGCTTTGGTGTGAAATATTCTGAAGATGTCAATTAAGTCCATCTGATCTAGTGAGTCATTTAGGATCGCTGTTTCTTTGTTAATTTTTTGTTTAGAGTATTTATCAGTGATGTCAGTGGAGTATTCAAGTCCCCTACTATGATTGTATTGCTATTGATCTCTCCCTTAATATTTTCCAAAGGTTGTTTTATGTATTTGGGTGCTCCTCTATTGGGTGCATATATGTTTACTAAAGTTATATCTTCTTGTTGTATTGCTCCCTTCAGTGTTATGTAGTGGCCTTCCTTCTCTCTTGTTATGGCCTTCACTTTGAGGTCTATTTTGACAGATATAAGTATTGCAATGCCTGCTTTTTTCTTTTTTTCCATTTGCCTAAAACATTTCCCCCCCTATTCCTTCACTCTCAGTCTATATGAGTCGTTTGTTCTGAGGTGGGTCTCTTGTAGACATCAAATATGTGGTTCATGCTTTTTTTCTTTTTAATTCATACAGCTACCCTATGTCTTTTGATTGGAACATTTAATCAATTTATGTTTAATGTTATTATTGATAAGTACTTGTTTGTTGTCATTTTTTTTATTACTGTTTTGTGTTTCTCGCCTTTCTGTTTCTTCTTTTTACATCAGTTCCTTTATCATTTCTTGCATTGCTGACTTGGTAGTAATAAACTCTCTTAGTGCCGAAACCGGTTTGGCTCAGTGGTAGAGCATTGGTCTGCAGACTGGGAGGTCCCGGGTTCGATTCCGGTCAGGGGCATGTGCGTTGGTTGCGGGCACATCCCCGGTAGGGGGTGTGCAGGAGGCAGCTGGTCGATGTTTCTCATCGACGTTTCTAGCTCTCTAGCTCTCTTCCTTCTTCTCTGAAAATATCAATAAAATATATTTTTTAAAAATTAAAAAAATAAACTCTCTTAACTCTTTTTTATCTGTGAAGCTCCTGATTCCACCTTCAATTCTGAATGATAATCTTGATGGGTATAGTATTCTTAGATTCAGTCCCTTGTTTTGCATCACTTTGTATATTCTTTCCATTTCCTTCTGGCCTGGTGTGTTTCTGTTGAGAAATCAGTTGCTATTCTAATAGGAGATCCGTTGTAGGTAACTTTCTGTCTCTCTCTGGCAGCCTTTAAGATTCTTACTTTGTTGTTGGTGTTTGCCAATTTAATTATGATATGGCTTGGTGTTGGTCTTGGGGTTCAACTTGTTTGGGACTCTATTTGCTTATTGGACTTGCCTAGTGTTTTTCTTGCCAATATCAGGGAAGTTTTCTGTCATTATTTCTTCAAACAGGTTTCCTATTTCTTGCTTCTCTTCCTCTCATTCTGATATCCTTATTATGTGGATGTTGTTTCATTTTGTGTTGTCCCAAAGGTTCCTTAGGTTCTCTTCTTACTTTTAAAATTTTCTTTCCAGATGCTCCTGCATTTGTATGTTTTTTCCTACCTTGTCTTCTTATTTGCTGATGTGGTCCTCGGCCTCTTCTAGTCTACTGTTAAAGCCTTCCATTGTGTTCTTTATTGCAATTATGCCATTCTTCATTTTCTTTTGGTTTATTTTCATGTTGGTGACATTCTCATTTAGCTCCTTATAATTCTCATTGAGTTGTGTGTATTTGTCATTGAGTTGTGTGTATTTGTCATCCAGATGTTTGAGCATCCTTATAACCATTACTCTGAATTCTTTCTCTGATATGTGACTAGTCTCAATTTCATTTAACTCCCTTTTTGGTGATTCCTGTTTTTCTTTTCTTTGGGGATTTCTTTTTTGTCTTCCCATGTTTTGCTGTAATGTTTTAATTGTAGATCCATTTGCTTTGCTACCCAGGTTCTTTTGGGAATGGTGGTACTGGTGTGATCTCTAAAGTCTCCTAGGCTTGGTAATCTAGTGTAGCTCCCTATTTGAGCTATTTGGGTTCTCTTGATGTAGGCTTCTGTGTTGGAAAGATGCAACTGTGGTCTCTAGAAGTCAGTAGCCATGGAGGGGAGTGTCTCAATTTTTGCTGTCTTGTGCCCTTGGTTGAAATCACATATGCCCAGCGGGGCTTCACAGTGACACCTAGGAACTGTCTGTTGGGTTGGTGGGGTTCAGGAGGCCTGCACTCTGGAAAGGCACCACTGTGGTGTCCAGAGAGTTCTGTAGTTTTTGGGTGGGTAGACTCAGCTTTTGCTGCTGCCTCCATGGTTAGATACATGTCCCTCCCATGGCAGCTCACAGGGGCACCTACAATGTGTTTGCCAGCAGGGTGTACTGATGCACTCTAAAAGGCCCTATCATTGAAGCCACAGAATTGTGGTATCTGTGGTAGGTATCCCAGAAGAGGGAATTTAGTGTTTCTATAGCCCAGCAGTGCACCCCTGTTAGTATAAGTGCATGCCCAGTAGGGACTCACAGCAATGCCCAAGGGCTGCCTGTGGAGTGGTGGGCTTGGGAGGCCTGCACACTGGAAAATCGTGTGAGTGTAGTGTCCAGAGTACTGCAACTGTGGGGTGGGAAGACTCGGTTTCTGTTACTGCACCTGTAGTTGGCTAGGTATGCTCTCCCAGTGACTGCTCACAGGGCACCTGTGGTGTGTTTGCCAGAGCCGTGCACTGAAGCACTCTGAAGGACATTAGCACTGAAGCCATGTAATCGAGGTGTCTGTGGACAGTTGTCCAGGATGAGTGAATTTAGAATTTCTACTGCTGGGGGAGTGCGTTTCTGTTTATCCAAGATCGCACCCAGCTGGGGCTCACTGCGGCTCCTCAGGGTTCCCTGTGGATAAATGGGTTCAGGGGGCCTGCTTTTTGTAAGTGCACAACTATGGCAGTGCCTTTGCAATCCCAGAACTCTGATGCACTCTGAGGGGCCCTGTCACTGAAGTTGCGCAGCTGTGCTGTCTGTGGGCAGTTATTCAGGCAAAGGGAATTCAGAATTTCTACTGCAGGGCAGCGTGCCCTTGTCTGTACACAATCACACCCAGTGGGGGCTCACAGTAGCTCCTCAAAACTGCCTGTATGTCCTGTAAGCCTTCACACTGGAAACATGAATGTGGTATCCGGAGGTCTGCTGCTGGGGAGCAGGGAAATTGCACTTACTGCTGTGGGAGCAGTGCACTTTTGGAGGTGGAGGTCCCAGGGTCCTCGGGTCTGTGGGTAGGAAGCAAGAATTTGGCTAGAGTGGCTGCCAGGTTGGGGCAGTGTCCAAGCATTGTCTGGGTGGTGGCGCTGATGAGTTCCTAGAAGAGGCAGCTCTCTTGGAGTTCTTTACATATTAGAAAATTAGCCTATGAAAATCAAATATTTTTATCAGTTGGAAATTTGTCCTATGACTCTGCTTACTGTGGTTTTTCAGTAAGGATTTGATTGTTTTTGTGTATATAAATGTATCAGTCTTTTACAGTTTCTGGTATGTAGTTCACAGTTTAAAAGTCCTTTACCTCCAAAGTTACTCTCCTATGTTTTTTTCTAGTACCTTTATATTTAAATATTTGATACATTTGGGATTCTGGCATGGATCCAACTTCTTTTTCAGATGGCTATTTGTCTTAATATCATTTAATAAATGATCTACCTTTATCACATATTAAATTCCCAATTTCACAGTACTGTATATATCTTTTATGATACTTCACGGCTGATTTTACAATAACATATCTGTATCCTTTAAAAATAAGCATTCCTTGTTATTTCTTCAGTAGTTCCCTAAGTGGCTGCTTTCTGAACTTTCAATGGTTAAATGAAATCTTTGACTTTATTATCAGTACCATTGAAGTCCATGAAGAGGGTAAGACAATTTTGTCAAAACACAGCTGAAACTAAGACTTATTCTTTTAAAAGAAATATATTTTGTTGATTTTTTTTTACAGAGAGGATGGGAGAGGGATAGAGAGTCAGAAATACTGATGAGAGAGAAACATCGATCAGCTACCTCCTGCACACCCCCCGCTGGGGATGTGCCCGCAACCAAGGTACATGCCCTTGCCCAGAATCGAACCCGGGACACTTCAGTCCACAGGCCGACCCTCTATCCACTAAGCCAAACCAGTTTGGCTAAGACTTATTCTTGTCTAGGTATTTTACTTCCAGGACTGACTACTAATTAGCATTTTACAAGGATTCTTAGTTAATAATAACATTCATTTCCTATTGAAAGAGAGACCTACCAAAAACAGATATATCCATTATAACACTGAAACAAAAGATTATTGCTGACAACTTTACTTACGATTAATGTAGGCTTGTCTTTAACATTCCAGGGGACCTGACTGGGACACTGGATTGTATGATGAAGGGAGTGCAACAGTCAGAGAGCTTCTTACTGAGCTATATAGCAAAGTTGGAGAAATCCGTCACTGGGGCTTGATCCGGTATATCTCTGGAATCTTAAGGAAGAAGGTGGAAGCACTCGATGAGGTACTATAAATTCTTCTTAAATTGGAATCAAACCTAAATGGAGGACATTTTAAAAGTTGGTTTTCATAATTGTCTTTTAAAGCAACCTCTGATCATTTGAAATGCTTTCTTTCCTACATAAAATTTCTGATACTTAGTTAATTTTTTTGTTTGCAAATATACTGAAGTATGTAAACTGTGGACTTATGGAAGTGTTGTAAACTATAAGAATTCTAGATCTTAAGGACAAATATGCACTGGGCCATGTTCCTACCCTTAGGAGATAAAATACCTCATTGTTCCTTTCTAAAAATCCCTCTTTTCTGATCTTCTTGGTATTTCCTAAGAAAGTACATTTGTGTGTGATTAAATTAAGGGGGAACAAAGGCTTCTAGGCAGAAAAGATTAATTTTCACGAAACTCTGAAATGTTATGGGAAAGATAATGCTATTATGCTGTCTCTCCTTAGGCCTGCACAGACCTTCTCTCCCACCAGAAACATTTGACAGTGGGACTCCCTCCAGAACCTCGAGAGAAGACTATCTCTTCGTGAGTGTGGCTTTTGCCTGGGTTTGGTCAAGCTTCTCTTAGTCTTTAAGGAGCTTTGGGAACTGACCCCAGTTCTCTTGCCCTAATATATCAATGGATGATAATGTCCTACTTGCGTGAGTATCTCAGCATGAGAATGTTGATAATAACAGAGCAGAGTAAATGAAAGAAAACTCACAGTGGGTAACATGCAAATGTATTTTAATTTTAATTTTATGATTTTGTTTGTTTGTTTTGTTTTGTTTTCTTATTGGATTTCCCAAACCTCTCATTCAAAGCAAAAAAAAAAAAAAAAACAAAAAAACAAAACAAACAAACAAACAAACAAAAAACAACAAAAAAACCCAGGGCAACTGGAATTAACACCCACAAAAAAATCAGTTATTCTTTGGACTTTGTTAAACCAGGCCTCTGTATTTGGACTATAGATGGCTGTTTTCTCCCTATGTCTATTTATATTTCTTTCTTCTGTATGTGTCTCCCTGTATCCAGATTTACAATTTATATAAAGATACCATTCCTATGAGATTAGAGTTCACACAATAACTTTTGCCTAATAAGGTCACACTCTGAGGTACTAGGGATTAAGATTTGAACATAGGAACATTGAGGGGACATTCAATCAATTATACTTTGCTCTTGTGAAACAAAATATTTTATCACAAATCAGATTAATTTTGTGACTACAGGCATTCCTTGGAAATATTGTGGTTTAGTCCCAGACCACTGCAATAAAGTAAATGTCACAATAAAGTGATTCACAGATTTTTTTTATTTCCTAGTGCATATAAAGGTTATGTAATCTACTGAATATCCAAAGTCATTATGTCTAAAAAAGTACATACCTTAATTTTAAAAATACTTTATTATTAACAATGCTAACCATCATCTGAACCTTTAGTGAATTTTGATCTTTTTGCTGGTGGTGGGTCTTGCTTCAATGTTGATAAAAATTCAATATCTATGAAGCATCATAAAGTAAAGTAGTATAATAAAGCAAGGTATGCCTGTACTGTAGGCAGTCCCAAAGAAGAAGAGGGCATACTCCATGCCCCATGCCTCCAAAGTGCTTAGTATCAACAGGAGAGTCAGAAGTGTGGAAAGAGAGAGAGAGAAGGATATATATATATATATATATATATATAGAGAGAGAGAGAGAGAGAGAGAGAGAGAGAGAGAGAGAGAGAGAGAGACAGAGAGAGACAGAGAGAGAGAGAGAGAGAACTGATGAACTATAGAAAATCAATATAGCTTTATAAAGTGTGATTATCTATTATAATAAAAAGGTAATATGCTAATTAGATCAGATGGCTGAATAGTGGAACGAGACTGTCTGGACAACAATCCAGGACCACACTATGACACTCACTGGCACCAGGCCAGCCAAGGCAGGTGCAATGCGATTGGTCAGGGGCCAGCCATCATCCCATGATCACCCCACTGAGGAAGGCCCAGGCCACCAGCAGGTGGGATGATCAATTGGGTGGAGGGGGGAGCTGCATGATTGCCTCAAAGAAGGAAGCCCAGACCACCCACCTGTGGGCTGTGGCTGGTGGGTGGGGCCTCCCTCTGTGAGAGAAACTAGTGGCCAAAGGGAAGCTGGTGCCGGCAGCCAGGGAAAAGAAGGCCTACTCTTTCATGAATTTTGTGCATTGGGCCTCTAGTAAAGTAATAAAATAGTTTCCAAAAGGCACAGCTTAAATTTCTAGCCATAATAGTTACTTGTCAAATGTTAATTAATCCTGAAAAAGTAGTCTGGAAAGACACCATCTAGTGGGGTTTACATAAAATTTTATAGGGGAAAGGCAATCCAAGTTTAGATAAGAGAGACCAGAACTCTCTTGAGTTCATATGGGCCAGAGTGGTAGGGGAGGCAATGAATTCTGAAGACTGAAAGAATCAGCATATATGCTACCAGTAATGATGAGATATTGAGGCAGTGGCTTGAAATTGGGAGGAGCTTTTTTATTTTCTCAATAGAATTAGGTATAAGTAATTATAGGATTTTGTCTTTCTCTACTGTCTTCTTCCTTAGACCTCTGCCCTATGAAGTGCTCACTCAGCTGATAGATGAAGCCAGTGAAGGGGACATGAACATTTCAATCCTGACACAGGTGAGTAGAATTAGAAAGTCTAATCTGGTGACTGATATTTTAAATTTTGTTTTTGATTGATCTGGCACTTGACCACAAAATAGGCCTTGTGAAGCATGAGTCATAATTTTTGTCTATATCCATTCCATGTACAGGAAATAATGGTATATCTAGCTATGTATATGCGAACTCAACCTGGCCTTTTTGCTGAAATGTTTCGACTTCGAATTGGTCTGATCATACAAGTTATGACAACAGAACTGGCCCATTCCCTTCGATGCTCAGGTATTCAATTTAGCAACTATTTTAGGCAGAATTTACTTTTAATATAAGTCTGTGATCAGGAGGGGAAGAAAGCTAAAACATATTTAAAAGCTGCATGTAACAATCTTGTTCCTTGGTTAGTCAGTCTCTATACAAACAAAGAGACTGATATTGTGACAAATTTAATTAGTTCTCTAACGTCACAACTTCCCTATTGGGGGCTTCAAATCACTACATTCTTCCTAATTACTAGTACACATGGAGCTTGATAGTGAAAGGCTGGGTTAGATCTGACTCAGTCAGTGCAGCTTCTGGATGCCACACTAAGTCAACACAGTTTGAACATAGTATTAGTATTCTGTCTAGTCAACATCAGGATTAAATAAAAGGAGGTAATATTTCTGTTGATATTTATTTTACAAGATTCTCTGAAGCTCTGTAGAGCAGAATTACATAAAGTGAAGGGAGGAATGGGGACCTCCTTGGCATGTCTACTTTCTCCATGAGTATTTGTTTTATTTCAACAAGAATGCAAAGAACTATGGATTACATACAAAAACATAATTACAGTGGCTAAACTCAATTTTAGCCATTCTGCAGTTAAATTTTCCTAAAAGATCTATAATTGAGCTGTTAGCAAGTACCTAAATTTATTGGTTTGAGTCTAACCTAAATTACACAAGATAATTTATATTTAAATAACCCTTTAAAGGAAGAGAGTTAATGATTATTTTAAACTTACTATATGCCAGATACTGTGCTTTCTGCTTTATATTTACATGCATTATCTCATTTAATCTTTACAACAACCCTCTGGAAAATGCATTTTTGTCCTACTTCTACCAATAAAGAGACAAACTCAGGTTAAACAACTTACCCAAAGTTACATAGCTAATCAGTAGTAGAAATTGAGTCCAAGTATGCCTGATTCCAAATGAATTCTAGGTTAGCACATTGATGCAGACTAAATGTATCATATATGTGTATTCTCTAGCTATGGTATCATGGATGCTTATGAGGGTCTGATGATCTATATATATAAAAGGCTAAGTGACCATCACATCCGAAACAACTGAACAGATGACCGAACAGGTTGTGTGGGGCGACCAGGTCGGCAGGGGAATTAGTAAGGGATGACCAAACGGCAGAACAGAGGGTTGCGTGCGGTGACCAGGCCCACAGGGGTGCAGTTGGAAGTGACCAGACTGGCAGGGTGGGAGGCAGTGAAGGGTTGCTAGGCTGATAAAGGGGGGCAATGAGGAGTTACCAGGTTGGTGGGGGACAGTTGGGGGTGACCATGCCAGCAGGTGGTGCAGTAAGGGGCAATCAGGCCAACAGGGGAGGGTCTGTTGGGGGCAACTATGCCTGTGGGGGGGCCGGCAATTAGGTGCAATCAGGCAGTTAGGCAGGTGAACAATTAGAAGCCAGCAGTCCAGGATTGTGAGAGGGATATCCCATATTGGAGAGGGTGCAGGGTGGGCTGAGGGGACCCCCCCCCCCCATGCACAAATTTTGTTAAAATAAATAAATAAACCTGAATGAGGGATAAACCCACAAACATTTTTAACTTTTCCTTAAGTGGCTGCTATGGATCTTTTTTTTCCTGTGAAGTCATCAAAACAATGGCTATTTATTTCTTGTAGGATAGTTAAGATCCCTGAGTCTGATATTTAAGATCCTCATTAGTCTGGCCTCTACCTCTTACTACAGCAATACTTCTCACTAATTTAATCAACCATAATTTGGCACTTACATAGCCATGTTTTATTATTGTCCATCTTGTTGACATATCCAATCTATCCCAAATAATTGGTCAGCCACTCAAGGTCAAGTATCATGTCATACTTGTTAGTACGAACTTTGCATAAAATCATTATCCATAGGTAGAAAACCCCTTAATAAGTGTCTGATACTGATTAACTGGTTTAAGTTATCTTCTCAACATTCTTTATAATTTTATGGATTCATATCTATTACCTTTTATATCTCTGTATTTCTAGGCTAACAAATTTTAATTATTTTAGTCCATCTGCATATTCAGTCATTACATTCATTGCCTTTCTCTGATTAGTTCCAAACCCATTGTTCTCCTTTCATTCTTCCCACCTTCAAATAAAAGTCCTGCTGAGTATCCTAATGGTGTGGAGGCGGGTAAAAAAAATAAATCAAGGACCTGGCTAATTCATAAACTAGATAGTCATTAAATTATTATAAATCAATTACAGTCTTAATATCTAGGCAGTATGGTGCTAGAAATGTTTTTGTTTGTTTGTTATTTTATTCTTCCAATTAAGTGACTTAGAAATTCTAAACAAAAAAGAAAATAGAGAAAAATAGGGTGGGTATGACAAGCCAATTATAAATATCTCTGCCCTAATGTTTCTTCTGACTAGCTGAGGAAGCCACAGATGGCCTGATGAATCTCAGCCCTTCAGCCATGAAGAGCCTCCTGCATCACATTCTCAGTGGAAAGGAGTTTGGAGTAGAACGCAGTGGTAAGGTTGAATTTTTATTTCAGAGTATTTAAATATGTCATTGATTTACAGTGTATTTTTTATCTGAGGAATCTTTTCCCCACAAATAAATAGAACCCTAATATATGAACAGTTAAAAGCATGACTGTCTTCTGGAACAATATTTGGAAACCATTGTATGTCTCACTTTTCCCCTTAAATGATAGTATCAACTAAGTAGATTGCTATATAAGTTGTTTTATTTTTTGAGGGAGAGGGACAGAGATAGAAACATCAATGATGAGAGAGAATCACTGATTATCTGCCTCCTGCCTGCCCCACAATGGGGATCAAGCCCGCAACCTTGGCATATGCCCTGACCAGGAATCAATCCTCAACCCCCCGGTTCCTAGGTCTGCACTTAACCATTGAGCAACACTGGCTGAGCTCATGTGTTGTTTTAAACTGCTTTATCCATTCCCTTAAATTATCCTAAATTGAAGTTTCTATTTCAGGATTAACAAATGACTCATACGTGTGTGTAGCTGCTACAGCGCATCTGATGCACCTTTAAATTCAAACAAAGGGTCCCATCACAAATTAGTCTTTCAGCTGCACTTGGTGTTGAGTACCTAATCAACAGAGCAAATGAAAGTGGTTATCTCCAATGCTCAACATTTTGGCTTAGGATAAATAAATATATAATGTCAGCTGGATGGATACCAGAACATGGATTGGTAAAAGAAGGCTTTGAAGCAGTGCTCCTCAAGCCTTACTCTGAACCTGGAGAACTTGCTAAAATGCAGTCTTTGATTCTGGACCAAAAGTCTAGAGTGAAGCCTAAAATTCTACTAAGAAGCTTCTAGGTGATGCTGATGCTGCTGGTCCATGGACCACACTTTGAATAGCAAGGTTTTACTTCTGTGTGTGTTTTAAAAATTAAAATAAAAGGAAGATATACATTGAAGTCTTTTAAATGTGGTGGAGGAAAAAAAATGAACCTGATTGTCCCCTCTATCTTTAATCTATCATGCTATCTAGTGCGCCCCACTGATTCAAATATCAGCCCTGCCATTTCTATTCATGAGATTGGTGCTGTTGGAGCTACCAAAACTGAACGAACTGGGATCATGCAGTTAAAAAGTGAAATAAAGCAGGTAAGATATTACTTGGGTGATTCGCTAAGAAATTGACATGTTTAAGAACATTTTTTGAAGTCATATTTTGTTGGGATTATATATATTGTTTTATGTTCTGAGTTTAAAGTGAGCTGCATGTTTTTCAGGTGGAATTTCATATACTGTGTATCTAGACTAAGTCGGGGGAAACAACTAGAGATCCTTTAACAGTTTAACCTACCTCAATTCTACATAATATTCATGAGCTCATGGCCTTTTAACAAATAAGATGACAAGCCACATAATAGCTTGTTTGATTTTCTTTTGTAGCAGTCATTTTCTAGACAGCTTTCCTTTTACTGAACCAAATGATTTTTGTTAATTTTAAGAGAAGAGTAATTTGTTTCTGATACCAAAATATTAAAACTCAGAGATCCCCTTATTAAGATCATCCTGTAATTTTAAAATTAATTTTCTTTATGAAACTAGAATTAGATTTATTACTTTTTAGAAGAGATAACAGCACAGACTCTGTTCCTGGCATGGTCAGAGGCTTCTGGCCAGCTTGCACTCCACTCTCAGCAGAGTCAGAGCTGTCTGCTGGCATGCACCCTACCCCAGGCCCAGGTGAGAGCTGCTGGTGTGACCTGCTGTGCCCACTCTCAAGTCATAGAACCACACTATATGTGTGCTTCCAGAAGGTCCTAGGATGCCATTCTTTCTTGGGTACTGGGGCCACACAATGAATTGCATGCCAGAGAACTCTAGGTTCCCACAGGGAGTCACACACCAGAAAAACTGTGCATGTGAACATGCCAATTGCAAGAATGTGAAGTGGACAACTGAAAGACAAGAACCAGCGGGAAAGAGGCTACAACTCAGAGCAGAAACAATAAAGGTGTGAAATTCAAGGCAGACTCAGCTTCCAGGCTAGCGAGTCCTAGGTCATTCAACCCCTCAGACTCCAAGCATGGAGCCCAGGGCAAAAAAGAGGCAGAAAAACGAAGAGACAAAAAAAAAACAACAAAAAAAAAACAAACAAAAAAAAACAAAACCCAAAGGGAAGAAAAGATGTGATCGCAAAAAAAAAAAAAAAAAAAAAAAAAAAAAAAAAAAAAAAAAAAAGGAACTAAATGAAATGGAGGCAATCAGTATATCAGAGAAAGAATTCAGAGTAAGAGTCATATAGTTCCTAAACCAGCTAAATGAGAAATTTACCCACAGATGTAAAAATCAAGAGGAAATGAAGAATGATACAGCTATGATAAAGAACACAATGGAAGATTTCAACAGTAGACTAGAAGAGTGGAGAACCAAATGAGTGACTTAGAAGACAGGGTAGAATAAAACACCCAATCTGCCCAGCAATTGGAGAAAAAAATTAAAAAGAAGGAGAGCTTAAGTGAGCTTTTGAATAACAAGAAATGAAGCAACATCCATATAATAGAGGTGCCAGAAGGACAAGAAGATGAGCAAGGATTAGAAAACTTATTTGAAGAAATAAAGACAGAAAATGTCCCTGATTTGGGGAAGAAAAAAGTCACACAAGCACACAGAGTGCTAAACAAGATGAACCCAAAAAGACTTACACTAAGACAAATGTTGTAATTATAATAGCAAAGTTAACGACAAAGAGAGAATCTTAAAGGCTGCAAAAGAGACACATAGAGTTACCTACAGGGGATCTCACATTAGATTATAAAATGATTTCGCAACAGAAACACATCAGGCCAGAAAGGAATGGAATGAAGTATACAAAGTGATGCAAAGCAAGGGGCTGGATCCAAGAATACTCTGGCTAGCAAGACTATCATTCAAAATTGAAGTGAAAATCAAGAGTGTCTAGATAAAAAAAAAAAGGCTAAGGAAGTTTATGATTATCAAGCCAGCAATGCAAGAAATGTGTAAGAGACTGTTGTACTAGTAAAAAGGAGAAATAGAAAAGGAAGAAGGAACACTGGCATAAAAAATAAAAATGGCTACAAATAAGTACTTATCCTATCTAATAAAAGAGTAATATGCAAATTTACCATCACTCCAATACAAGATGGCTGCCCCATGTGGTCAAAGATGGCTGCCCCCATGTGGACACAAGATGGCTACCACAAGATGGCTTCAAGGGAGGGCAGTTGGGAGGGACTAGGCCTGCAAGGGAGAGTAGTTGTGGGCAATCAGGCCAGCAGGGGAGGGCAGTTGGGAAGGACCAGATCTTAAAAGGAGGGCAGTTAAGAGTAACAAGGCCTGAAGGGGAGGGCAGTTAGGGGTGACCAGGCCTGCAGGGGAGAGCAATGAGGGGTAGTCAGGCTGGCAGGGGAACAGTTAGACATCAATCAGGCTGGCAGGGGAGTGGTTAGGGGGTGATCAGGCTGGCAGGAATAAGTGGTTAGGGGCAATCAGGAAGGCAGGCAGGCAAACAGTTGGAAGCCAGCAGTCCTGGATTGTGAGAGGGATGTCCGACTGCCCATTCAGGCCCAATCCTACTGGGATATGGCCTAAATAGGCATTCAGACATCCCTTGAGGGGTCCCAGATTGGAGACTGTGTAGGATGGGCTGAGGGACACACACTCCTATGCACGAATTTTGTGTACCAGACCTCTAGTCAATAATAACTTTAAATTTAAATGCGTTAAATATTCCAATTCAATGACATGGGGTAGCTGAAAGAATAAAAAACATGACTCATATATTTTCTGTCTACAAGAGACCCACCTCAAAACAAGGGACTCACACAGACTGAAAGTGAAGGGATGGGAAAATATCTTTCAGGCAAATGGAAAATAAAAATAAGCTGGGGTAACAATACTTATATCTGACAAAATAGACCTCAAATTAAAGGCCATAACAAGAGATAAGGAAGACCACTTCATGATATTAAAGGGATCACTAAAAAAGAGGATATAACCATGGTAAACATATATGCACCCAATACAGGAGCACCAAATACATTAAAAAAAACTTCTGGAAGTTTTCAACAGATATAGCACCAGCAATACAATCTTAGTAGGGGACTTTGTTACACCACGTACATCACTGGATAAATTCTCTAGACAAAAACAAAACAAAACAAAAGGACAAAGCAAAGCAAAGCAAAACAAAACAAAACCACAAAGAAACAGCAATCCTAAACAAATCACTGGGTAAGAATGAAATAATTTCCAAAACCGGTTTGGCTCAGTGGTAGAGCATAGGTCTGCGGACTGAAAGGTCCCAGGTTCGATTCCAGTCAAGGATATGTACATTGGTTGCAGGCACATCCCCAGTAGGGGCTGTGCAAGAGGCAGCTGGTTGATGTTTCTCTCTCATTGACATTTCTAGCTCTCTAGCTCTCTCCCTTCCTCTCTGTAAAAAATCAATAAAATACATATATAAAAAAGAATGAAATAATTGACATATTCAGAACATTTCAACCCAAAACTACAGATTATACATTCTTCTCAAGTGCACACAAGAAATTTTCAAAGATAGAGCATATATTGGGACACAGGCAAAGTCACTTCAAATTCAAGAAGATTGAAATCTTATGAAGCGCCTTCTCAGATCACAATAGAATGAAATTAGAAATAAATTAAATAAAAAACATAAAGCACTTGGAGGCTAAATAGCATACTATTAAACAATGGTTGGTTTAACAAAGAGATTAAAGAAAAAATAAAAAACAACCTGGAAACAAATTACAATGAAAACACAAAAATCCAAAATCTATCAGATGCAATGAAAGCAGTCCTGAGAGGGAAGTTCATAACTATATAGACCTACTTAAAAAATAAAAATAAAAAGTAATAAATTATCTAACTCTACAACTTAAAGAATTAGAAAGAGGGCAACAAGAAAAGCCAAAGTGAGCAGAAGGGAAAAAATAATAAAGACTAATGCAGAAATAAATGACATAGAGACAAAAAAATCAATAAAACCAAGATTCTGGTTCTTTGAAAGGATAAACATGATTGATGAAACTCTAGCTAGACTCTCCTAAAAGAAAATACAGAGGGCCCAAATAAAATCAGAAATGAAAGAGGTGCAGTAACAACCAAACACACAAATACCCTGTTTCCTCGAAAATATGATAATGTCTTATATTAATTTTTTCTCCCAAAGTTGCACTAGGTCTTATTTTTAGGGAATGTCTTATCTTTCCATGTACTAGGTCTTATTTTCGGAGGATGTCTTATTTTCAGGGAAGCACAGTAGAAAAATTTGTTTAAAAAAATACCATGAACAATTCTATCCCAACAAACTGGACAATCTAGATGAAATGGACATATTCCTAGAAAAGTATGACCTTCCAAAACTCAATCATGAAGAATTAAAAAATCTGCATAGGCCTATAACTATGGAGGAAATTGAAACCATTATAAAAAAAACTTCCAGGAAACAAAAGCTGTGAAGTGGATAGCTTTACAGGGGAGTTTTACTAAACATTCAAAGAATTAAAACCTACCCTTCTCAGACTATTCCAAAAAATTCAAGAGGGAGGCACAGTTTCACATTTTTTTCTACGAAGCCAGCATTACCCTAATTCCAGAATCAGATAAAGACACTAACAAGAGATAATTTTATAGGCCAATAGCTCTAATGGACATAATTGCTAATATCCTCAACAAAATTCTAGCAAATCAGATGCAGAATTCTAGCACATCGGATCATTAGAATGATCATACATCATGACGAAGTGGGATTTATTCTGGGGATGCAAGGCTGCTATAATATCCACAACTCAATAGACATGATGTATCACATAAACAACTTGAGAGACAAAAATCACACAATCATATCAATTGATAAAGAAAAAGTATTCAACAAAATCCAACACTTTTTCTTGATAAACACTCTCAGCAAAGTGGGAATAGAGGGATCATACATCAACAATCAAAGCCTTTCATGGTAAATCTGTATCCAACATCATACTCAATAGGCAAAAACTAAAAACTTTTGCCCTAAAAACAGGAATAAACAGGGATGCCCAATTTCAGCACTGCTGTTTTACATAGTACTGGAAGTACTAGCTATAGCGATCTAACAAGAAGAAATAAAAGGCATC